TTTTAATATCATAAACTTTTAACTACACTATCTTGTATAAATAAAAATTAGTGAACCTTCTTCAAACCTTCATTTATGGTTATTGAACCTTAACCGAACCGGAACCTATATAAACTTTTCCCTTAACTTTAACAGAGTCTAAACCTTTATAACTTTTATCCTTGGAACCGTAACCAAACCGATCTTATATAGCAAAGTTTCGACACTGATATTTTAATCCTCGCGGTATGTAGTTAAAGAATTTGGTTATAAATGCATAATCTTTTTTAAAATTCATTCAAGGTTTTTAGACCTAAACCAAATCTGTTTAATTATTAAACTGAAATGAACCTACATCTTTATAACTTCTTTCGTCGTGGAACCTTAACCAAACCTGTATATTAAAATGTTCGACATTCTGGGTTGAATATATGATGTGCTTTGCGATCGGGTCATGATATTTTATTAATAAAAATTTCAAAATTATTTTTAAACATAAAAAAGATTAATCAAGATTTTCAAAATTATTTTACAGAAAAATAAGTATATCCAAACTATAAAAAATTCGTCCCTTTTATAGGGAAAATAAAAGGCGCAATTATAAATTAAAATTAAATTGGCGCAAAGTGAAAAAAAGAACGTTTTTGTGGAATCGAGTTGTGTTAGTTTTATCGTACATAATTGGGGATAAAACCTACCCCCCTAAACTTCCCGAAACTCAAAATATACCTTGGGATGCAGGGTGGTCTCCCGGACCCAACGGTCTAACTCATATTTTCGGATCACCTTACTGAGGACTCCTAAAGTAAGAAATACAGTAAAGTGAGAGAAAACACAAAAGCCATATGTGTTAATCTCACTGTGTTTAACTTAAAACAAAAATTACCAAAAAAAAGAAAAACATTTTTTAACTTTCATTTTATGATACACAAAGGAGATGGATAAAAACTTTAATTAATTTTAACATAAACAAAAGAAGGGGATAAAAAACTTTTACATCTTACACATAATAAAAGAGGGGGATAAAAAAACTTTTTTATCTTTAACATAATAAAAGAGGGGGTTTAAAGAAAAACTTTTTTTTTTATCTTTAACACTCCTCCCCCCCTAAATAGGCCACGGGGAGGGGGGATGATCCCGGTCTCGACTTAGCTTAAAAATTTTAGAATTATTACGAGTTCCGAAAACCGTCCCAACAAAAAAAACACAACCAATTCCCACAATAAACAAAAATACGTAACTGAAATACTAAGAGTGACTAATAGAACGCCCTAGAAAGTATAACTGAATTATCATTATAAAACTAATTAACCCTCCTCCCCCCCTAAATAGGCCACGGGGAAAGAGGAATGATATATATTGACTGGGAAAAAAAAATAAAAAAAAATATTTATAGTTTATAAATTGAATATTTGGGGAAAACGTTTAAATTTATGAAAAGAGGAGGAGGGAAAAAAAAGAGTAATTAATTGTTCGATTTATCGGGAAATCGTCTTTTTCGGATTTGCTTATCATAGAAGCTCTGTAATTCAAGTTTCGTTTTTCTTTGACATAACTCATTGCTAATGGTATTTTGCAGTGGTTGGCTTGCTTGGCTAGGTTGGATACATTTTGGTTGGTCTTCTGGTTTTACACGTACGTTAATAGAAATTGGAAGTTCTCTTAGTATATCGTCGGTAATATAGGGGATCTTTGAGATTAGTTTTGTAGTGTTCTTTTTTGTGAATATGTTTGATATAATTGAGGGAAAAATTTCTATTACATCCCTGCCTATAATAGGGTTGTAATCATTTTTGGTGATTACTATTGTTATGTTTGCCGATTGTTGGTTATGTATTATTTCGGTATTTATTGTGCCTACTATAGGAACCGGATGTCCTGAATACGAATTTAATTTTATGGTAGGTTTAGTTACATGAAGGTTTTTAAACTGGGCGTTATATAAATTCTCTCCTATGATGGTAATGGGTGAACCCGTATCAACCTCCATTATTATTGGAATTTTATTAATCTTTACGGAAGCTCGATAGGCTTCGGGTATGGTGTTTTCAATAATATTGTCGACGAGCAGGGATGTGGTGTTTGGAGGGGGGTCTTTTGTAGGGATAATTTCTATAGTTAAAGAATTTATCGAATGCTGATTTGAAGGATAGCTTTCAAGCTGTTCTATTGCATTTACCACATTGTTCGTTATCGCTTTCTTCGTTTCGGGTTGTAGGGCGGGTCTCATACAGTTTCGCTCTAAGTGACCTATTCGTCCACAATTGTAGCATTTGGGGGTTTGATATTGTTGCCGGTTATATGGGGGCCATTGAGAGGAATTGTTCGTGGGATATTGGTATTGTGGGGTTTGGTGATACGGGGGCACATAAGATGAATTGTTGGAGTGATTTGGGTATTGTTGTTGTTGGTTGTATTGAGTCCAATGCGATGAATTTTTGGTTGAATAATTGTCTCTATGGGTAGGTTGAGCGTTTGACTTGAATGTTAGGTGTGTATGAGTATCCTGAGGTGGGGGAATATCATAATTTCCTCCGTCTGATGTTGACCAGGATTCGATAAGCTCCTCGGTTTTTGCTATTTCCACATATTCTTGGAACTGAGTAGGGGGTAGCGATAGTAACTTGCGTTTTATTACTGTTGAATAAACGCCAGACATAAATTGAGTAGCCATAAATAAATCGTGGCTCTCCTTTAAATCGCAATTGTGGGCGATTTCGACCAGGGCTTCCGCGTACTGGGTTATTGATTCGTGGAGATGTTGAATTCGATTCCTTAGTCGGTAGCGGGCTTGATTGGGTGGTTCGGCGAATTTGTCGATTGATTGATTAATTTTTAGAAACCCTTGGGTCTCTATTGACTCTGGATAGAACGTATTTTTTAATTTGGCAAATAATGTTGGTCCGCAGTAAGTTAGAAATAGTATACCTTTCTCTATATCATCGGATATATTCGTTGTTTGCAAACGAAACCGGTGTAAATAATTACACAAGGGTTCCGAAGCCGAATATTCGTTGATGTTGAGCGGTCTGAGCCCCCAGGGCGCCAATGATGTGCTTTGCGATCGGGTCATGATATTTTATTAATAAAAATTTCAAAATTATTTTTAAACATAAAAAAGATTAATCAAGATTTTCAAAATTATTTTACAGAAAAATAAGTATATCCAAACTATAAAAAATTCGTCCCTTTTATAGGGAAAATAAAAGGCGCAATTATAAATTAAAATTAAATTGGCGCAAAGTGAAAAAAAGAACGTTTTTGTGGAATCGAGTTGTGTTAGTTTTATCGTACATAATTGGGGATAAAACCTACCCCCCTAAACTTCCCGAAACTCAAAATATACCTTGGGATGCAGGGTGGTCTCCCGGACCCAACGGTCTAACTCATATTTTCGGATCACCTTACTGAGGACTCCTAAAGTAAGAAATACAGTAAAGTGAGAGAAAACACAAAAGCCATATGTGTTAATCTCACTGTGTTTAACTTAAAACAAAAATTACCAAAAAAAAGAAAAACATTTTTTAACTTTCATTTTATGATACACAAAGGAGATGGATAAAAACTTTAATTAATTTTAACATAAACAAAAGAAGGGGATAAAAAACTTTTACATCTTACACATAATAAAAGAGGGGGATAAAAAAACTTTTTTATCTTTAACATAATAAAAGAGGGGGTTTAAAGAAAAACTTTTTTTTTTATCTTTAACAATATATAAATCAAAATTATATATACAGGTTGAATAAAAAATCAAAAATATTTATAATTATCTATGACTTCATGGACAGCGTGTACATGACAGGATTTTCACTGGATGCAAACCTCCTTCTAAAACCTATGCCTGCCCCCTAAAAAAATTTTGCCCCTATTTGTAATTTTACCATTTTAATTATAATGATACTCTTTCAGAAAATTAAAAAAAATAAATTAAATTATTTTATCTCTACTACGAAACGAACTATCGACCTTTTATTTTGTGAATATAAAGAAGTTATTTTAGATAATAAATTCAATTAAAACCCCCATCATTTAAAATGAATTGATTATTATAGCATTATGAGCTTGCTGAAAATCTCTAAACCTTTTAAATTACATTTGAAAGGATAGCCGAAAGTTTTATTTGAAAATAATGTCTATGATTGTTTGCAATATTTAGATTTGGCTGATGAATTGTATTATAATAAAGTATTAATTTTTACAGCATAAAATTTTATCATATTTGATCTCAAAATTTAATAGATGACCCCTCAAAAAATTTATCCTACCCCAATAAAACCGCCTATCCCCTACCCCCCCCCCCCCTTAAAAAATAGGATGCGAACTGTTCCTACCTCCCCCGTTCATATAGATGCTATTCATGGAATATAAATCACAACCACTTTAATTCTGATTAAAGTTAATTTTAATATTACAGCCGATACGATATTATTTAAATTCGATTTTCGGTCTTATTTCTTAATAGCCTTTACAATCTCCGAGGGCTCAAATCTTAAAAAATATGTTCAAAATTATCTTCATTTTTTATTTAACAATATCCAAAATTACTTTTTTTTAAAGCTAACATTATTAAAATTACATTTGGTATTAAAAAAATTTAAAATTTAATGAGACATTTTAAATTTTTCAAGCGGCTCCCCCTGCCCCCCCTTCCTTAGTGACGATACTGTTTATTAATGTTGTTCGAATGTAATATTCTTTCATTTCATAAAATCTTTGAAAATAAATATTATATTTTTTTGGATTTGATAATTTTTTTAATTTACCATTCTATTTAATAATCACCTTTGATGCTTAACCTCTTTTAATTATGAATTGCTAAGAATTCGTAAGACATAGTTTACTAATCTCTGTAAGTTTTACATGATTATTTTAAAAATCCCTTTGCAAATATTCTCCAATTACTTATAATGGTTTTCTGATATTTGCAATATAATCCATAAATCACATAAATTTAAAAGAGGAGGTATGAATCCCTCGGAGAATTATATTTAGATGTTCGCGCTTAATAATTCCCGCTTAAACGCGTTTATACAATAAAAAATTTTTAAATAGCTAATAAAATATTTTTATTATTAAAATTTTCTGTAATTATATAATAAAATGGCCCACAGATTTAATGAAAATATTTATCCAAAGATCCAAGAACATATAAATCTGGATATCAAAGTAATTAAAACTTATCCAATCTTATTTTATTTTTTTAATTAGGCTGAGAAAACTTCAAGAATACGCAGAACCTTAGAAGAAAGTCATTTAACAGTAAATATATTTAATATTGATTTTTTAATATATTTAAATAAATTTAGAATATCCCTGAAAAACCATACCTTAAAGTAATTTAAAAATAAATAACAGTTTAAATGATGCATTTCCTTAGCCCATTTCAAATAATAATTTAAAACCACCCAAGGTTAACAAATCAACTAATGCAAATTTTCCTACTCCCATGAATGTCATTAGTAAATACAAAATTATCACATTACCAAAATCTGTACCAGACCTTACTGATGATTTTGCCCATGATATGGATGACTATGAAGATGAAGAGACAAAAATGAGAAGGCTGGAAATAGAAGAGGAACCATTATTAAGAGAAAATCCTAGAAGATTTGTTATTTTTCCTATTCAATATAAAGATATATGGAATTTTTATAAAAAAGCTGAGGCTTCATTTTGGACTGTAGAGGAGGTTGATCTTGGTAAAGATTTAAATGATTGGGAAAAACTAAAGCCTACAGAAAAACATTTTATATCACATGTTTTGGCCTTTTTTGCTGCAAGTGATGGAATAGTCAATGAAAATCTAGTTAAATAGTATCCCATTTAAAAATATATTTAACTCTTTCATAGGTTGAGAGATTTGCTCAAGAAATACAAATTCCAGAAGCTAGATGTTTTTATGGCTTCCAAATTGCAATTGAAAATATACATTCTGAAATGTATAGTCTTTTAATAGATACTTATATAAGTACAATTTTTATAATAATTAAATTACTAAAAAATGTTTATAATTAATTTTTTTTGGGTTGTCAGAAACATAAATTTCTTTTATAATTAATACAATATTATTTATTTTAGCATGTGTCAAACAAAAAGATTTCTTATTCAATGCAATTGAAACATTACCCTGTGTTAGGAAAAAGGCAAATTGGGCTTTTAAATGGACTTGTGATAGGAAAGCATCATTTGCTAAAAGAATTGTAGCATTTGCTGCTGTAGAAGGAATTTTCTTTTCAGGTTTTATTACATTTTATTTTATTAAGTTTAATAAAATTATTTTATAAAAAAGGTTCATTTGCTGCTATCTTTTGGCTTAAAAAAAGAGGTCTGATGCCTGGTCTAACCTTTAGTAATGAACTTATTAGCCGAGATGAGGTATATCTGACAATAAAAAGATTATTAATATTCATTTTATAATTTAAAAAGGGGTTGCATTGTGACTTTGCCTGCTTACTCTTTCACCATTTAAAAAGAAAAATAAGTCAAGAGATAATTTCTGATATTATCCGTGAAGCTGTATTAATCGAAGAAGAGTTTTTAACTGATGCCCTGCCTTGCTCTCTTATTGGAATGAATTGTGAATTGATGAAGCAATACATCCAATTTGTTGCTGATAGGTTGCTAATTGAATTGAAATGTCCCAAAGTAAATTTTTATATTATATAAAAAATTGATTGACTTTTTTATATGAAGGTATACAATGTGGAAAATCCTTTTGATTTTATGGAGCACATATCCCTTGAAGGCAAAACCAATTTCTTTGAGAAAAAAGTTGGCGAATACCAAAAACTAGGGGTTTTGCTTGAAAATGATAATAAAAAAATGAGACATTGTGATGATGAACACTTATTTAATTTAAATGCTGATTTTTAAATTATAAGAATTTACAATTCTCTACTTCAATGCCAAAAGGTTGTTGATAGCATTATTTTATTTAAAAAAAATGTTTATCATGTTTTGTGCTTTTTAAATGTTTACATTAATATAAATAGGAAAAATTATTTTAAAACTGGTATATCATAATATATGATCTTTTTAATGTATATAAAGAAATATTTTTACAATTTGTATCATGTAATATATAATATTTTTATTTATATTCTAATTTATTTAGAAATAAAAAAATAATGCTCAACTGTATATGCTTTATAGCTAATTATTGGTGGGTTTTTAATGGCTCAATTTAGTCAAGTTTAAATTAAGATTTTAGCCAAAATAATATTAGACAAAGCAAATTTTAACGCCTGTATAATAGTTTTGGCGATTGGGTTAGCTATTTTTAAAAATTGAATTTTTTTGACGTTATTATCAGGCCTATTTTATAAAGTCCAATCTAAGAAAATTTTATTAGAGTGGTGAAAAAGTACGAAATCGGAAAATTTATAAGTACTAAAGGATAATATAAATAAATTTGTTGGTATTCTTAAAAATAATCAAGCAATTAAGAAAGCTAAAATATTTTAAAGGTTTGGTTTGAAAAATAAATTTTAAAAAATCTATCTATGAAGGACTTTGCTTACAAAATGAGGCGTTTTGCATTTTATTTCAAATAATATAATTTAAACTAAATTGAGAATCACAAATTGATTAACGCTTTTTTTGGGTTAAAAAATGCAATATTGTTTGTTTCTTACCTTGAATTCATAGTGAAGCGATCGCGATATTGCAGTAACCTATCAGCTGGATAGATAGCAGCGATTTTCATTCATCATGTAAAGCAATATTATTAATTCATAAAATGATATTCGACACATTATTATTTTTATACAAAATTATCATGAAGAGTAGATTAAAAAATTTTAATATTAGTAAAAGAAAAGAGGGTAAATTTTACACCACCTTTCCTAAGCTATTAAAAAAAGGTGAAAAATTTTAATTATATGAGAATGACCATAATATTTATTTATTCTATTCTATTTTATCTTTAATTTTATTTTATATAGGAAACTTTATTACATATTTAAATATGTAAACAGCTACAAATTTTATTAAATATCCTTTAACTATTGAAGAAAAACTCATGGTTTTCCTTGGGTAATAATAAAATACTTTAAATAAATTTTATAATTATAGCCACTGGTTGTATAGTTTGGCCTATTTCTTCAAATGGGGATTTCAACAATCCAAAATTTTTTAGAACCACATAACATTCATATGCAACCACCTACTCTCACTGACTTTGAGAAGATAGCAGAGAAGAAAAAAAGTGGAATTTACTTAACTGTGTGGGTAAACCTTTACACAATAATCCAATATTATAAAAATATATTATATTTTCTATAAATAAAATTTGATCTTGTTTTATATTTTATATATTTTTTTAAATTGTTTTTACATTTTATAGTTACATTTTTATTAAATATTTCAAAATAATAATTAACTAACATCACAAATGTATATTATAAAGATTTTTGTATATTATTTTAAAAATATATTTTCATTATCATTATAATAAATTTTACCACTTGAATTTTATAGGTATATATTTTTTAAATTGTTATATTTTTTTAGCAATATTTTAATAAAGAGAAGTCTGCTTTTAATATAGTCTAAACTCATAATGTATATATGTAAAAATATGTCACTAAAAAAGCTATATAGTTAGACCTGCGCCGACAAACTATCGGCGGCCGGCGCTAATTTTCAAAAAATCCTATCGACGGCCAGCGGCGCGCCGATTTTTAGCCGCCGTCAACAAAATCGGCGCAGTTATAAATATATCATAATTTTTTTTAAATTGCTTATTATTTTTTTAAAAAAACGAATATACATTACTCTACAGATATCTCAGCATATTTTTTAATATTTATTTAATAGAAAACTCATAAATCCAAAATCGATTTCGTAATTTTATAATTATCATATATAAAAATTATTTTATTTAAATTTTAGGGATAATAATGATCCCCTTGAATTTAACGTCAATCCAGCGGGAGAGAAAACTCTTTCACTAGGTGTGCTAGTCACCCGAATGCATAGAATTTTTTGGCGAGCCTGGGAAGATTGGGAAGTTTTACTATTTTCTCTCCAAAAATTTAGAACGTCCATATCTTGTGAATATCGTTTTAAGAAAACTGTGGCATTCTTGTTCTAAGTCACCTAACTTGGAATCATAATTTATATTTGTTGAATGCTTATTTGCCAATTCTGTCAAATAACTTAAATTAAATAATTCATCTTGATCCTCATTAGCTATATTTACTACCTGATTATCATCATTCTCTATAGTTTAAGATGTTTTATTACAAATTCTGATGCTGAACAATTTTGCTCTATTAAATACTTTGACACAATTCTCAATTTTTGATATCTTGGATCTAAAAGAGAAGCCAATACCTAGATAATAACTTGCAGATTACACCGAAAATCGTAACGCAAGTTTTTTTTAGCATATTTTCCTTAAGTGAAATGATTTCAGAACTATCACTATCATTTACTATTAAATTTGTTTCATTTTCACTTCTAAAAAGTAACGCCAAGTTTAAAGTAGGTCCTTTTTGTACCGAAAGAAATTCGACAGTTTTTTTAAATTTTGAAAGAAATGCTAATCGTTCTTCTACTAGCTCAGATTCATAATTTGATAATTTGAGAAAGTGCTTCCCAATTCTTTTCAAAACATTATTAATTAAATTCTTATTTAATCCAGATATGCTTTCTAGCATAATTAATATACCATGCCAACGTGTTGGGACATTTAATTTTAAGGTTTTCATATGCGTGGAATTATTGTTATTATCATTGGAATTGCCAATTTGAAAACGGGTATCCTGGTATGGATCAATGCTGTTAAGATCTAACATGTCTGATGTTAAATCTATTGTACTTAGACATTTTTTTGATTCCTCGAATTCAAATTCAACCTCTGCAGTTTTATATCTTAGAGCAGTAATAATTTCTCTAATTATTTTGCAAAAAATTTCCAGACTGTGGATTTTTTATTACCCAGAGTTAGGATACTAAAATTATTTATAGAATTATTAAATGTAGATGCATCCATTTTAAAAATATGTAAAATTATGGTAACTTTTGGAATTTTAGATTTTTGATTGATTGAATTCTATAATGACGTCAATATAATTATGATTTTAAAATAGTAGAAAATAAAAATTCATCAAAATCCTGATTGACATTAAAAAATTACAACAGTGATGTTGACCAATTATTAGAATAAAAAGGTATGAAATATGAAAGAAATTTCTGCGCCGGGCGTGCGCCGCCAATATAAAAATCGGCGGCGCGCCGGCGTGATTTTTTTAAACGGCGGCGTTTTCGGCGTAACCAAAAAATGGCCGGCCGGCGCACAGGTCTATATATAGTAAATAATTTTATATAAAATATAGCAAAGGTATCTAAATTTAAGAAAAAAAATATAAAATAATTATATTACAAATAATATAAACAAAATAATTTAATTTATATATAGTTAATTAATGAGCCTAATTGAAATAACATTAAAAATTTTAGTTGAATATTTATCCAATTCCCTTCAACATAATATATATCATGGTTTTGATTTTTAATTCTGTCTATTTTAATTTTTTTCTCCTTTAATTTTAGTAGATTTTTATACACATCTATTTAAATTTTTTTTCATAAAGCAAATAACAAATCTAAATTACCAATTGCATTCCATTTTCTCTTAGGGCATTTATAAGAACTACGAGATTCAACAGAGGATATAGATACTTCTATATAAATAATTTACTCTTTCAGATATTATAAATTACCATTTACCAAGTTTAATTAATTCAGGACTACTGAGAATAATTACATCTTCAAATGTATTGTCATTATCATTAAACGTTTTGGCACTATTAATGAGGTCAGTTGCTCTTACAGAATATATAAATGCTGTTTTATCTATTTTCTCAAAAAATATTATAATTTAAATTATCATTTTATCTTGATTTATAGGTTTGATATCTTCAAAAATGGTAATATTTAATTCATTTCAAAAATTGAGTAATATAGGATTTTATTTTAAAATTACCGCTAAATGTAAAATATTTTGTGCTATATTCAACAAAGCAGTATCATAATTTCAAAATCAAGCGATAAACACAAAATGATTAGTATTTAAAAAAAAAACGCTGCGATTAGCTTTAGCGACTCAAGTCGCGCGATCAGTATTATAAATCCGATATGATATTTACTGTATTTTGTACTTATACGGCGAAATCGCGTCCGCAATCGCGCTACTATGAATTCAAGGTTTCATAACAATAAATTTACTTCAATTTAAACAATGGTATAATTATTTTTAAGATGATTGTGATATTAAAATTCAATAAAATTGGTAGATATTTTACATAAGAATTGTTAGTATTTAAAAAAAAATTTATTTTTTCCCCGAAAAATCTTAATTGCAATTTTACAGAGGTTTAGTTTTTAAGCTTTGCTCGAATTTAAAATTTCAAACCTGATATGGATTATATAATTTGTTTTAGCTTGGTTTTAATTTTTAAAATTTTCATTTTTTATGGCATGACCAGGGTAAAAATAAATATTTAGGGAGCGTTCTGACTTTCTAATTTGTTTTTAAATTGAATTTTTTAAAAAAAATTTATAAATGAAAATGATTACTTTTCCCATTTTATGGAAATCAAAATTGAACCAAATTTTTTCTATGACAAAAATTATCTTATGACAAGGATTGGCCATTACAGCTTTTAAAATGCATTACATTCAAAATCAATAAATTTATTTTAAAGTTGATAAATTTATTTTCAATCGAATTAAAGATAATTTGAAGTATAAAACTATTGCTTTTGTATAGATCGTTTACATAAATGAATTTTGGGCCACTTCTGATTTATACACAAAAATTTAGGCAGGATCTAACAAATATCTGTTTTTTCGTAGAATTTTAAAAGGTCAGCCTTACCAATTAAGATTTTGGTATATTTTTTGAATTTCAAGCTAATATTTTGATTTATTCTATTAAAATAAATTAAAATATGCTTATTTCTTTGTATTTTTTAATAAATAAAAAT